TGATTATTATGCATGTCATTCCTCTGACCTTAGTGATTCTTCCCCACTTTTCTGACTGGTTTTAACCATCCTTCAAGAATAACGTTAGATGTCTCCTCCTTCATGAAGCTTTCCTTGATTCCTTTTCCTTGACTCCTTTCCTAGATATTCCTGTAGGACTCCATATATACATCCCCTTCAGAATTTACCACTCTGAAACTCAGCTTATGCGACTGTCTCTCTTACTGAACTATAAGTAACTTAAAAGAAAGGAGCCTGTGCTATTCATCCTTGTATTTCCAGGGCACAACTCAATATGGTAATCACCCCTCAACCCACAGGGGATACATTCTAGGACGCCCAGTGGATGCCGGAAACCAGATAGCAGTGAAGCCTGTGTATAACTGTTTTTTCCTGTACATAGATAACTATGATAAAGGTTTACTTACAAATTAGACATACTAACAGATTAAGAATAACAATAAAATAGAAGAATTACAACAACATGCTGTAACAAAAGTTACGTGAGGGAGGCCAAGGCAGGCAGATCACGAGGTCAGGAGATCGAGACCATCCTGACTAACATGATGAAAACCCGTCTGTACTAAAAATACAAAAACAAAATTAGCCGGGTGTGGTGGCAGGCGCCTGTAGTCCCAGCTACTCGGGAGGCTGAAGTGGGAGAATGGCATGAACCCAGGAGGCGGAGCCTGCAGTGAGCAGAGATCACGCCACTGCACTCCAGCCTGGGAGACAGAGTGAGATTCTGTCTCAAAAAAAAAAGTTACGTGAATGTGGTCTCTCTTGAAATATCTTAATGCTTTTTGTCTGTGGTTGACCCCAGATAACTGAAACCATGGAAGGTGAAACTGTGGATAAAGGGGTCTACTCTAACTAGCATATGGTACAAGGGCAGCAAGTGTCGAACTGAAATACTTAGATTATGCAACTGACTCAAGGGTTCAACACAAACTATCCTGCTAAAAAGTTATTATCAGGGCAAAGTCAGCATTTAGGGCAATAAAATAGTTAATGATTTACCTGGTTATGTTTCCAAGAAGCCTCTTTCTGCTGTTCACTCTCGTGTGCTGCAGCCTCTACAAATTGCACACATTGTTTGGCATCAGCCAGTTGGCGCTCTTTCTGTCGTACCATCCTCTGGAGCTTCTGTATTTCCAGCTGGCTGCAGAATAAAGCACTCTGAAGATCAAGCAGAGCCACCTGTTGCTGAGCTGGGGAAGTACCCTCTGAGCTCTGAAAAGAGAGTAGAAATCACAATCACAAGCAGGGCAAGCACTGAGCTCCCACGAAGACTGAAAATAAAATCAAGACTGCAACCAAAATGGCACATCCCCAACTGAAGTCTCTCCTGTCCTATGTGACCCTCACATACGTGAAGTTGTCCAAGCTGGCTTTGGTGCAGCATTTCTCGAAGCTTTGCCATTGTGTCATTTTGACCTTCAATCACCTGGTACAACTCCTCAGTCTGAAAATGAGAGAGGGAATATCAAACATGTTAGTAAACTAATTATAAATTCCATTATCTCACCTATACAAATTTTAGTAATGTGACTATTCCAAAATATCAATCGAGGTTAAGCTACAATTTCTCCAGGCTAAGATCTGTTAGTCTGACAATATGCATTTTGACAAAATATAAAATACTTGTCTACTTTGAAGGGACCAATTGTTTCCACACAGGTCCTTGATAGCTAAGTATTTTACCTCACTTTCCCTGCTCTTCAGAGTTTCCTTGAGGTTCTGAATTGTACCATCTTGCTTTTGAGACGACTCCTGAGCACACTTTAGTTCATAGCTCATTTCATTAAGTTTCTCTTGAAGAATCTGAATTCAGCAAAGAAAAACAGTTTTTTAGGTCAATGATGTCTTTTAGCCTCAAATGAATAAAGCCTTTCCTCAAATCTTGGATTTAAAGAATTTCTTAGGGGATATTACCTTGTTATTTTTCTCACATACAGTAACCATTAAAGTGGTAAGTCAACCAGCAACGAATAGTAGCAGGAGAAATGAAATACTTCCTTCAGTACTAAATTGTCTCAATCTTCATGCACTGTGATCTCTCTATGATGGCAGCCATACTAGGAACTTGTCCACATGGACCAAGTAGGCAAGTGGTTCCTAGTATGGATCCCTTATACAAGGACCAAAGAACTTCTGCTACCTAGCACAGGAGAGGGCACTATAGGGGCACGGAGGCCACAAGTTCAGCATCCAAAATTGTAGCAATTTTCTTCTGAGCCAGACATTAAAATTCATGGGCTAGAAAGTAGTAACAAGTTAAGCTAAAATAAAAAACACAGACCTCCTATCTCAGTGCCTTTTACAGTGAAAGATTGCATGTAAGTTTTTTTTTTTTTTGAGACAGAGTCTCTCTCTGTTGCCCAGGCCCGAGTGCAGTGGCGTGGTCGTGGCTCACTGCAACCTCCACCTCCTGGGTTCAAGCGATTCTCCTGCTTCAGCCTCCCAAGTAGCTGGGATTACAGGCGTCTGCCACAACGCCTGGCTAATTTTTTGTATTTTTTAGTAAAGACAGGGTTTCACCATGTTGGCCAGGCGGGTCTCGAACTCCCAATCTTGTGATCCGCCTGCTTTGGCCTCCCAAAGCACTGGTATTACAGGCGTGAGTCACTGCACTGGCCTGCATGCAAGTTTTAATTACACACCTGAAAAGCACCAGAAATTATGATCTGTACAGAACAAGCTAAAATCTTGATAAGAATAAAGGGAAGAACTACACTTTTACATGAAATATTCCCTAGAGCACAAGGAGTACACAGTATCCATCTCCCAAGTCCTACACAGGTTGACAGACTCAGGCTAGAGCCAGTCACATCCTCAGGAAAACCCTGTCATCTCCTAGGGGATAGTACTAATCATACCTTATTGGTGGCCTCTGTTTGCTGGATTTTTTCCTGGAGTTCTGCCAAGTGGGAATCAGATACAGACTGCTGAGTTATAGTGGTCTCATGTGAATTCAGCTTTTGTTGTTTGAGTAACTCTTCAGTCATGGGCTAGGAAGAAACAGCAAAACAAGTAAGGTGAGTTAAACACGGCCAACAAAATTTTATTTCTATCTTCAAAAATATCTGTTGCATCTTTTGCCAGAGATTTAGAGAATCAGATTTGTTGCATAAATTATCAGTATGAATTCCTAAAGACAGGCCTGTTCCTTATTAAGAACACTGATTCACCCCCATTTGTACTATGCTTCCCAGCTTCCCTTTCAACTTTTCCCTACCAATTCACACAAACACTACATGTTTATTCACTGAAAGCAAGTAATTCAGAGTTCAATGAGAAGGGGAGGATGTCATAAAGGAGATGATCACAATGACCAAATATTTGCTTTATTCTATTTTTAATCAAGGAGTTGAAAAGGCATACTCATCAAACTTATACTACTCCTGAGAGAAGTTACATTTCAGCTACCTTTCTTACAACGTGCTTGTTTCACATGATTGGAAAAAATTGGCAGATTTTGATATGGACTATATATTAGATAACAGTATTTTATCAATGTCTAATTTTCTAAATTTGATAATTGTACTGTAATTATATAAGAGATGTCCTTGTCCTTAGGAAATAATGCTGAAGTATTTAGGGTAAAGGAGTATACTATCTACAACTAATTCTCAAATGGTTCAAGAATTTAAAAAAAATACTGTGCAAATACAGAGAGTGGGAGAGTTTATAAAGCAAATGTGACAAAATATTCGCAACTGGTAAATCTGGGTAAGGGATACATGGGAGTTCTTGGTATTTCTCTAACAACGTCTCTGTACATTTGAAATTATTTCAAAATAAAAAGAGAATAAACTAAATTTAAAATAGATGTGCCTACTTAAAGGCAGATTTATAGCATAAGCCCAGATAAATAATCCATAGTGAACTGGGAAGGAGACATATTTTATAGGAATATCAATTCACTTAAAAGATTCAGGAGAAAAAAAGTATGATTTACATATGGGACAATTTGTATATGGGACAATAAGATAAACTTATTGAACCATTCTTAGTAATCATTACAAGCTAAGGATGTTAAAATAAAACTTTACAAATTTACTGTGGCAATTACATTTGATCTTCCCGCCTCCATACCTGCTTCCATTCCAATTAGGAATATAAATTCATTAAGGGAAAAAAGACAACTGCTATCCATTCTTTCTTTCGCTCACATCTTCAGACTTGATTACCACCTTCAAGGCAGTGGAGTTACAGCTTACCTTAAATCCCTTCCTGCTAGCAACTGACTGGAAACATAAAGATTTCAAAAGAAAAATCTTTTCTATTCCTCCAGTGCTATTTATCAACTTTTCTAACACCTACTAAATGCTATAATAAGCAAAGTACCATGTGAGGCACTGTGAGGAATACAATGCTGACATAACATGTATCTGTTGCACACTAACTATGTGCTAGGCACTGTCCTGAAGATATATCATGCAAGACAAAGTCCCTGTGCTCTTGAAACTTATATTTTGCAGGGGTTGGAGGGGGGAGTACATGATAAACAAACAAGGAAATGCAAAAAATATTATGGACAAGCCCTACGTGGCAAAATAGGAAAGCATAATGCAGAGTGGGTGGTTAAATTACTCTAAATTGCTTGATCAGAGAAAGGTCTTTATGAGGCAGCATTAAGTAGAGATCTGAAAGAAAAAGAATCAGTCCTGCAAAGATAGGCAGAACAATCCAGGCAGAAAGAACAGCTAATGGAATATGAGCCTGGAAAAGAGAAAGGCCTCTGTGGCTAGAATAGCACTCTCTAACAGAAATATAATGTGAGTCCTATATGTAATTTTAAATATTCTAGTAGCTTCAATGAACAAAGTACAAAATAAATAGGGAAACTTAATTTTAACAAAATATTTTTACCCAAAATATCCAAATGTTATCATAAACATGTAAACAATATAAAATTATTGAGACACTTTACATGATTTTTCCTAAGTCTGAAATTCAAGGCATATTTTATACTCACAGCCCATCTCAATTTGGACTAGCCACATTTCAAGGGTTCAAGAGCTCCTGAGACTAGTGGCTAGCTTACTGGATAGCCCAGGGCTAGAGCATAGTGGGCAAAGGGGATAGGGACACTCAATGAGGTGGAGAGGCAGGCAGGCACCAGGTCACATCCAGCTTCAGACAACGGGGTTAATGAACTGGATTTTGTTTTAACTGAAATGAGAATAGACCGCAGTTCTTTAACAGGTAATCACACATAAGTTTTGAAAAGATCACGCTGTGGTGAATGAATTATTGGGGAGCACCAATAGAAGCAGAGACACCAGGTGGGAGGCTGCTGCAGTAGTGCAGGTGAAAGACTAGTAGCTTGGGTTCTGGTGCTTAGTAAGGGAGGGGGAAATAAATGGATAGATATGGATATGTTTTGAAAGTATACCTAACAGGACTTGCTGGTGGACTGGATAGAGGGAGAGGGAAAAAAGCAGCAAGGATAACGACTTCTGGAAAAATTATTTGAGATATTTGTTGTTGGGGGTATAACAGGAAGCCTTCACCTGAGGCAACATGAACTATGTCACACCATGGGCAAAGTAACCGCATTAATAGATATTGACAACGATTCTAACTAATAAATAAATTTACCATTTACTTAATGATAAAACCACCTTTATAAAATTTGGCTTCTTACTTCTTCAGTGTAAAACAACAATAACATCTACAGTAAGATATTTTGAAATTCAAACTACAACAGGCAGAATTAAAGAAAAGATCTTCAAGTTTAACATGGCAAGGAAGGTGATCATATTTATTTACTTAAAACCAAACAATCTTAGAAACTTTATAAACTAACCATCTGATCCGATCCTATTTTACATACAAGGAAATGGAAACTTAGAGAAGTAATTAGTCCAAGGTTTCCTGGGAAACCAGGAAAAAGATCCAATTAAACTGAACTGGATTCCCACTCAGGTTGGGAATGTATCTCTCATTTCTATAAACCCATTGCCTACCATAATGCTGGGAATACTGCAGAGATCAAAAGTTTTTGTTTAATGAATGAATAAGAACAATAAAAACAAACGAAAACGGGCCTTCAGTGGCTCTCTTAGAAATACGACTGTATGTAACATATATTCGAAAAGCAACTTTAAAGCCAAAGAATGCCACAGGAAAATACATGAATCTGAATCTCACATGAATCAATCTTGACATGAATAATTATAAGAAACCTCTTTTTCTATAAAAAATGTACTCACCTAAAAGTTGGAAGATATTTGTTTCTTCTTTATTTGTAATAATTTACTATTTTACATCTCAGAAAAATGTCCTTGCAGATAACAGTCACCGAAAGAGCACTTAGCAAGTACCACTAAGCCAACAACTTAATGAATTCTTGTGAAGTATCAAGTACATAAAACAGTCACTCCTACAATGATAGTGTAGCCCATGAAATAAGTAATACCTGATTTGGTAGAATCAGTGTTACTCTCTAGACACTCAGGTACTAAAATCATGTGGAAATGTTAATATATTTTAAATTAAGTCACTTTTCACTCAGAATTAGGACAAAGGCTTTCCAGTATCAGAAAAGAGAACTGCTTCCAGGTCTAGTGTTGCACAATATGAGACTTTTAGGCTAAGGGCAGTGTTTAGACCTTTTGTGTTGATAGCATTTTTCTTGGCACTTTCTAGTCCTCACAGTAGTGAGTTATAGATATCAAACTGCTATAATTGTCAATCCTATTGTTAATACTAGGAGACAGACAAGAATCATCAACTACCATCAAATTAAAGGCCTAATCTTTAACCAGCATCTAATGCCAACATCTTCCAAAGGGCCTGATCCACTTCCTATAACTAAAATATGAGTGCGATAAATTTACCATAGTCACAAAGGAGCAGACCCTGGCATTGCAAGGTTTAAAGCAAAGATCTCCTGTTCTTTGACTTTAGATAGAAAGGGAAATTGCACATGGGCCAGAGCTCATTGCTGTTTACTAAGGGACCACACCCCTCCCATCATAGCTTTTCTAGTTCAGGGCCAGACAATAAAGAAGGGAATTACCAGCTAGAATAAGGCTTCAAACCTTTCTTTAGCTATCTGAATAGCTTTAGGTTGTCATACATAAATTCTGTAGAAGGGAAATAAATTACTTTGTGTAATATCAGAATATCAGTAAGCAGAACTACACTGTTAGTTTTCTTTAATAAATAAGAAAGGAACAAAGAAAAAGAGCGGGAAAGAAGGAAAGAAAAAAAGAAAGATGAAAAGCAATCAGGAGGAATTCTGATGTCAATATTTAATAGTGCATACAGTATGGTAAGTGGAAGATTAAACAAAGGAATCCAAATGACCTTACAGAAAATCTTGCTCTTTAAGATAAAAGGTTTTCTCCATATTTGTGGCAGAACTGAATTAAAGGAAACATTTTTTTCTTTCATGGTTTCGTTTTTTCACAAGCTAAAAGGAGAACTACCAAAAAAAAAAAAAATTACATTGTTTCTATTCTTTCCACATTTGTTCAGAGAAATAGACAAAAACCAGTCTGCCATTGTCCTATCTAGCACTGGTTTTGTCATAAGGCTCTTAAGGAGCTTAAAAGTAACCGGATTTAAACAATAGATATGCTGCCCATTTTATTTACAAACAGGTTGGGCCCAATTCATCTATTTTCCCTGACATCTCAAATTATTAGAGAAAATGGTATAATAATTAAATGCCACATTTCTTGAAACTGAATGACATTTTCTCCCTCCCAATTTTTGTTTTTCTAGAAACAGTAAACAATGTAAGAATGTTAAGTTAGGTCACAGCAGAAAGGTCATATGCTACTATTTTAAAGCTCTAATGTCCAAATTTAGTGAAGTAAAGGGACTTGACCTAAAGATACAGTTACCATAGTTTATATATGTTCATTCAGATGACAATTTTTTTCACGTAATCTCTAAAAAATCCCCCAAGCATCCTTAGGTTAGAGAAAGAGGGCTCCTGGTTTTAAAAAAGTACTTACCTAAATTTATATACTTCAGACAATGGGGTTTAATG